GTGCCTCCTGATCCCGTTCTCCCCTCGGCTTTAGGAGGGACTCTTGAATTGGGTCGAGACTCCTGGATCGGCGACTTGCATCTGCCTTCGGTCATCTTGGGAATCTGCATCGGCCTCTTGTTAGGGCCTTGCTTGGATTTCTGTTTGCTGCTGCGGATTGGGCTCCTTCGGAGTCTTGGTCGGGTTAGCCGACCGATCGCCCGGCTTTATCGCATTCTTGAATGAGCCTGCGTTCTGAGGTGGCTTCCTTGCGTGAAGAAGCCAGAGCCCTTAGGTCACTTTTAGTACGGCTTGAGGGTCGCATCGCTAGGTGGGATTTGAGTTGGTAGAGCATAGCAGTCCCCGGGTGGAGTCCTCTGTCAGTGCTGCAAACCCTCCCAGTACCCCTTGCCGGCCCTACGGGGCGCCGCAGAGCAGCGGATCTCCGGCTGCTTCTCGGCCTGTTGCCAGTTCTTCCTGTGCAGGCTCGTTCCGTGACGGGTCCAGTGCCGCCAATCCCGGCGCTCCCAGCTCCGAGTTCAGGGTGCACTTGGCTCAGGGCATCGGCCGATTCCTTTCGGGGCGGCTCAGCGGTCAAGCCACGGGGAGTTCAGGTAGGGAGCAACTTCAGCTATCGAGTAAAGTGTACATTGTCTGCCGTGACGCGCAAGGTAAGGATTACAATCCGCCTATCGTGACGTCAGCCTTCTCCCGGGTTAAGCAGCTGTGCTTTCTGGGTCAGTCCAGGAGTGATTGTGGGGCTTCGGTGTTCATCGGGCTACCTTCTCAAACGGAGGTTCGGGTGGCGCTTGCCAGTGCGGGACTTATCTGCCCAAACCTGAGTGGAAATGGCGGAGGAAGCCAGTGAGCGGAGCGAAGGGGGTAGCCGTGCTCCTCCTGGACTTGGCGAGTGCTTGCTTAGTGAAACCAGTCCGGAATGCAGAGTGGGAGCGCTGCAGATAGAGAGAGAGGGCGGTGGCCTGCTATCTTGCCAGCTGATAGGAATTGCTCAAATGGACGGCGGGTATCTGGTGGCCGTCCCTCACGGGGCGTGGCATCGGACTTCGGCTCGCAGGTATCTTCCGAGCTCAGCCTTGAACCGCCCGGTGTTAGCCGAAGTTCTCGCTGCGTCAGAGGTGGACAGACGGCAGCCTCACCCAGTTTGGAAGGTCAAGACTTGGATCGGTATTCTGAATCAGGAGCTGGTCGAGAGCGTGATCTTCGCCAGCGGAGGGGAGGCTACAGCTTTTGGGGACGCAGACGAGGCGGCGGAGATTATCTTCGCGGTGGCAGGCTCGGGCGGGAGTGTCGCAGGACCGAGCCCGGCTTGCCCTTTGGCGGCATCTGACGGCGATAGCGGGGGAGCACTTCAGTTTCCACTCTGCCCAGGAGTACCCCGAGGGCGAGGAGGAACTAGGAGTCCCAGATCGTTTGGAAGCCCTCCTAGATCGCAGCGCCCCCGAGGGAAACAAGGACGCCCCGACGAACCCGGGACCCAAGGCCAAAGCTGGAGTGGGCTCGCGAGCGGGCCCTGGCGTGGAGGCGGGGCTTCCAGGCCTGGATCCTGCGGTGGTGAAGTCAGCCCGGTTAGCCGGGATCCCAGAGGCGCAACTGGAGAAGATGAGCAAGCTTGTGGGTGGAGCCCGCAAGCTTCCTGTGGAGCCTCGAGGTGGAGGTCTCGATCCTCTCGACGACGAGGAGGAAGAGGACGGTGCAGAGGCTCGCCCAGGAAAGGGCGGCGGAAGCGAGTTGGAAACGGTGGTAGTGCAGATGAGTCGCATCCTCCAGCACATGCACAAGGACAAGAAGCCCGGGAACCTAGAGGATGTCTTGGACCGGGCGGATGGTGGCTCCGATCCGAGCGGGGCTTCGTCGAGTGGGGGGCGCAGCAAAGCGGCGGCTTACCAGAAATTGAAGTCCCTCCTGCGGAGCTCGCCGGCGGAGATCTCGAAGGCGGTCGAGCGGTGCATGAGCGAAGACTTCACTCTGTCCCAGAGCGGACCGGGGCTAGGCCAGCGTCCTTGCACTTGCCGTGCGTGGGTGGAACATCGCAGCTTGCTTCAGAGCTTTCACGGGCCGATTCGCCAAGCTTGGACCCTGGCTGGTATGGTGGATGCCATCAACGATGGAGATGCGGAACTGGCGAAAGCTATCGGGCTTTTGGGGCTGGCCAGCCTGGATCAGGCCGCCGTGGACGGCGGGTCGTGGTTGCTCGCTTCCGAAATCAGCCTAGAAGCGAGTCCCCCTTTCGGGGCCTTCGCGAGACCAAGGACGTTGGATCAGTTCGAAGCTCGACAGACTCGTCTGCTGGATGCATGGGTGAGCATCCTCATGGCATGGGGAGGATCCGCGAAAGGGACGCATACCATGCAGCGAAGCGGTGTTTGGGAGGCGGCGGAGGAGCCGGCCAGCCTGGAGGAGGGGCTCCAAACGGGGGCCGCGACAGCCCGTCGACCGAAGGTCGGCCAGATCCCAAAGGAGACAAGAAGGGAGAGAAAGGTGGTGGTCGCGGGGACAAGGGAAACAAGCCCAAGTGAGCTCGGTGCTTCCGCAAGCGCCGCAGTGCACTGTGTGTGATTCTCATGTTTCCGCGCCTTTGGTTGGTGATCAAGCCAACGATGAGCACGTTTTGGCTGCCGGGAACCCTCTAGTAGGGAGGGCTTTTGAAGAGCTAGGGAAGCCGAGTGCTTCGGTAGGGCCCGAGCCCCTGGAACCTCCGTTTCCCTCTAGCCCCCAGGCGCCTTGTTTAAGTAGTTCCCTGTCGATGCCCACGTCGGGTTGCCCTGGCGCAGGTCGTTTGGTGCCGCGCAAAGGAGTTCGTTTTTCATTGCCGATCCCTGGTGATTTGGCCGAGCCTCGGCGAACTAGCGCCGCTAATACTTTAGATTCCTCGGGGTGTCAGCCCCACCGTACAGTAGGGAAGTGCCCTAATCTCGGACCCCAGCCTGAACCTTCTGAGACAGTGTGCTCTGGCGACGCCGGACACAACCAGGAGTCTGATTGCTCGGTCCCCAATCCTGTTCAGTGCAAGACGGGACTATGCCATGAAGCCGGGGAAGCCGGCGATGGAGCCTCTCTTGTCACTAGTGCTGTTGCTGAAGAGTTTTGCAACGCTGTGTCTTCTAAGAAGCCTGCCGTGGAAGCTCCGAGAACTGAGCCGTGCGACAGGTCTGAAACGAGTGGTTCGAAAGGCGAGCCGCTTGGGTCTTCGCCTGCAGAGCCTGTCAAACATGCGAGCAACAGTGTCCCAGGTGCTCGTGCAAGCCCCGTCACAGCATCTGGGCTGTGGTCGGAGTGGTTCGGCGCCTTGAGCTCCAGCGACTGCTCGTTGTCGAGTTTCTTTCATTCACTCCGCGAGTTACCCCGAAAGGACGGGGGCCCTCATCGAGTTCAACCAGCAGCCGCCGACGGGTGTGGCCCATGCCTCTGCCTTTTCCGGAGCTGTTAGTCCCAGGGAACTCGTATCGTGATGCCGATAGGCTCGCCTTGAATGCACTTGTGTTAGTGCTTGACTGGTTGTTCCTGGGGCACCTGGTGTGTGCCGAGCAGAGCTGTGCTTGGACCTCGGCCAGCGCCTCAATGTGAGGCAGGAAGCAGCGCTTGATGCGTTGCGGTCCTCTGTGAAACGGTGGAACCAATCCCCCTGCATAGGACCTGCTGAGATGGGCCGTGCCGCGGCCAAGTTCGAAAGCCTGGAAGACTTGCTGTTAGCCGTGGAGCGAGGACTTGAGCGCTTCGGGTGGCAGGCTGCCAAGGCTTTGACTTCAGTCAGGTTGCGACTGCCTCAACCTTGCAATGCTATGGCTGTTGATTGCGACCGGATCAAGTTTGTCGGAGATCCTTCCTTTGACCCTCGCCCATACTTGGACAACTACTCCCGAAGCATCTACGAGAAGCCCATGTCGTTCAGAGAGCCGATCCCTCCCGAAACTCAGGTTCCTCGCGCACAAGTGCGAACCGTGCCGGGCAAACGCCTGGGCTTGCTTCGAGCTCTCCGAGACTGCAAGCGACTGGAGCTTGTGGAGGCTTCCGAGTTGCTGACGCCTTTGCGTAATCCTAAGGACGAGGCTAGGGATAGGTTGGTTCTCGACGCTAGGGTTCCTCACTTAGGGGAGGGGGGCTTCGACCCGTGGATTCAGAGCCTCGCTAGTCTGGAGCAGCTGCAGCATGTGCATCTTCCGGCCAGTCATGACATTGCAATTTACCTTGAGGACTTGAGGGAGTTTTATCATGCGTTCCG